ACGTTCTCCAAGCGATTTCGATTTCAGGTCTCTCCTCAGCTGCGTCTCCCAATCTCTTAGTGCTGTGCGTTCCGAGTGCTCAGCGATCTGGGCTCTTTTTTGGCACGTATACATTTGATAGCCGATTTCATCAAGTTTCCTCTTATCCTGAAAGGCTTCCATATCGCGCTGCCGAATACTTTCAGCCAGTTTGAGGTAGGGGCTCCGCTCGCTCTCATCCATAGAGTCCCATATGCGTTTCCCCGAAATTAGTCTGTGGGACCTCAACACATCCAGGTAGTTGAGACCGAGCAAGCCCACTTGACGAATGCGCTGGGCGAGCAGGAAGTTGAAAAAGGCGTTTGTGGAGCCCAACTGTTCCAGTTCGTTGAGTTGAAGTTTGCGAACGGTGCTGCGGCTAAATCTCACACGTGATTTACTTTTGATAGGCTGAGGTATCGGCGACGTCGTGAGTGATGGTGCTGAATCTTTGGCCGAGCCATTATGCTCGTGGTCGCCAAAGAATGAGCACCAGAAATCCAACGTCTTCTCCCAGAGCCAGTCCATGCTGGGGCACACATAATTTTGAAGTGTGAGGCAAGGCGAAAGGGAGTGGGTCTCGCAGGATGCGACCAGTATCTCCATAATGGCTGCTCTCCCACCTTTGCAGAGATAACAAATTAAGCGTCTGCCGCGCCTTATGCTCCCAGCGATTGATGGCCAACCTTGAACCCATTCAATTGGCTCTTCTTCAGAGCCAAAGTTATTTCTGTAGGTCCCATACTCTACGGACCTTGTGGACAAACCATGCCGGCATAAACCCAAAGATGGCGAGATAAAAGCGATAATGCACCACAATCTAATCCGCTGACCAAGGAGATCGTAAAATTAGAACTGCCTAAGGGGGAATTAATAAACAAATAAATCTGTCTGGAAAATATAGTTCTATCAATACCTGAAATTCACGCGATTGCTCAGCTCAATAGCGAAAGAGTATAGACACTTCGTCAAGGTGACTTAACCAGCTGGTTCTTTGGCTCGGTGCCTAGGTTCGCTTTTGGCGTGTAGCTGCCAAACAGGTAATGTGGTCAGTGGACTGGAGGCTGGGCCCTCACGCACATTTCTTTGGATACATACACGTGTGGCTTCTTCTGTTGTTTGGCAAGCCCCTTCATCCGTTTCCCGTCTGTCTCTTTGCAGCTCCCTGTGATGCACCTGTCGCCCGGCCAACTGAAAGTGGTGCTCATTTTGGCCCTGCTGCAGGAGCTGCAGGTGAAGCCGCAGCGGGAGGTGTTCCAGGAGCTCTACGAGAAGGATCTGCGTTTGTGTCCTGACTGTTTTGTTGGACAAAGCGAGCTGTGCGTGGGAATCTTCCAGAAAATTGCAGAGCCCTCGGATTGGAGTAAACTTTTGAAAGCCATTTCCTTGATCGTTGATCGTCGAGCGATTTATTACCTAAGGCTGAAAGACCAGGCTCAGGTGGTGGCCAAAAGAAAGATCATTGATGCGCGGAACCATAAAGCTGAAAATGTGGAAAAGGCTTTCTACGAGCAAGAGGAGCAACCCGGTGGCTTTCATCTCTGCCGAACTCCGTCAAGGAAACCACCCCGTTTCGTTTCGTACTTGGAGCAGCGTGGACATGCATCCGCCAGTGTGTGGTTCTACATGATGCACTACGTCAGTCCACTGCTCATGCAGGAACTGCATCTGCAAGGCTTTCCAGTGCCCACCACCTACGCCTCCTGCGGACTTACACATTTTCAAGCCTACGCAGGACGCACTTTGACCAATTACTTCGAAGCCGAAGAAGGTCTGCGTATGGAGCTGGCTCTCCAGTTGATCCAGCTCTCGCTCAAGCTCACTTTTGGCTTCTCGGACTTTCGCATTTTTTTAACCGATTTCACGGGCGATAATTTCGCTTACGACGAAGACTCCAAGAGGGTTTACCTCATTGATCTGGATTCCGTGGTACTGGTGGACGCTTCATCCGCAGCAGGACAAGCCGAAAAATACGTGCCTCTGCCCGGCGAGGGATTTACATTTGATGTCTCGGCTTTCTGCTCCGGCCACCAGCTGGATGCCAATATCTACCAAGCGTGCCTTCTGCTAAGGGATTTCTTGCTTAAGAATTTGGACAACGAAAGGCTGCAGCTGCTCCTGGAGCAGTGTGTAGCATGCCAAGATGACTTCTGTGATATGCGTTTCCAACATGCTTACGATCTAATAAAAGTGCTGGATAGCAAAATTTAGGGCCAATCGTTGGAGATCCACTAGTAAATAATCGTTTATAATCATAAAACATATTCATTACAATCAATTTAATGCCTAAATGAACCTCTAACGCCGAACTGTGAGGGGTCTTGGGAGTAGGGTTACCAGCAACAGTCTGCTGTCCGAGTAACTTTGGACTAGGACGGGCGTCGGTTCAGAGCTTAGATAATATCACGTGGCACACTCAGGAAGTGTATGGAATTGGACACATGGTGTGTGATGTCCGTTAGTGTCTCCTTGTGCACGCCCCCGAAGAGGATGAGCTCGCCGTTGCCAGCAATGAGGCTCGACAGGATTAACCGATCCGGAGCACCCTTAAGCACTCCGAAGTTTTTGTATTCCACCCACTCGAGGGCGGGTTCGCTGCTGTCCAAGATGCTCGAGATGTCACAGACGAACAGGGATTGCACATTGCAGCGCAACCGCTTGGGGGAGGGTGCGCGGAGCGGTTGTGGTTCCACCTGGGCGGCCGCAGGTGCGCTGCGTCGCGAGTTGCGAATGGCGTTCATCTTCTCCTCCATGCGTCGGATCCGCTCGTTGTGATCCCGGGAGGCACTCCGCGATCGTGTGGGCACATTAAAGGCGGCCATTCGAAAGGGATCCTTTTGAAACAAAAATATCAGTAAGATGCGCGTAATACTGAAATGCTGAATGCTGAAAAACACTCACCTCGTACAGCTCATCGAAGCGTTTTGGCAGCCTAGGTTCATTATCACGACACCTTAGAGCTAAATTCCTTTGCAAGCGTTGCGCGGCATCCACATCGCCATCAGCGGGAGACGGTGGAGCATTTGGTCGCACTGGCGGGGATGGAGGAGAAGCGGCTGCAGCCGGAGCTGGCGGGGCATGGAGATCACTCAATCTTCCCGAGCGTGGTTGGTAATTATTGTTATTATTGTTTACATTGCTGTTATGCAGGAATTGCTGCGCTTGCTGCATGTGTTGATTAAGAATTGCTCTTCGGTTAGCCAAATACTGCTCTTGAGGACCCAGTGCAGCCGCTGCACCTCCCACTCCAGGACGGATGTTTCCTCCACGATTTTGGCCAGGTCCACCCAATCCTCCACCCAGTCGACGATCCGGAACTGGTATCCGGTATCCCCTTGGAGGTACATTTTGAAGAGGATTCGGCGGCGGAGGTCCGCGGCCTCCAACGACTGGGACTCGGCTTTGCTTCATCATTTGGAAGTCCTGCGGCATGTTGGGCGATGGTCCCACGACCACCAGGTAGTTGTTGACCTTGCAACCGGGATTGCACCACATGTGGACTGCTCCGAAACGCTTGTTGCGCACAGCAATAGACTTCCAGCTCCATACGTCCCTGGTCATGTCCAGCAGCCAGGCATCCGTGTACACCCGATTGGCACCGCCACATCCTCCCACGATCAGCAGATGGTTCTTTCCCAACTCCACCTGGATCTGTCCGTATCGCGGACTGGGTCGCGTGTTGCCCACAAAGAGTGGTTGCCACCAGCGCTGCTCCGGCAGATCCAGTACCCATGTATCGTTTGAGTTCACATTGAAATCGTCTTTGATCTGGTAACCGCCAAATACTACCATCCGATCGCCATGAACAGTGGCCGAGTGTCCAGCCATTGGTGGTGGTGAAGATAGGGAGCTCCGCAGTAGCCAGCGGTTCTTTCCAAGATCGTAATAGTGCAGCTCGTCAAATAAACACCATGGTTGGTAAGGCGGGTGTAGCGAGGGGTAGCGCCAGCCGCCAAAGAGTATCAGCTGGTCTCGCCACGCCACCATTGAAGCACTTCCCTTGGGCGAGGGATAGGTTCCAGTGGCCACTGGGCGCGCCCAACGCATGTGCGTCAAATCAAAGCGCCACAGATCGTTGAAGGTGGTGTCCGAGGAGGAACCGCCGCCGAACACGTACATGGAATTGCCTTGCCGCACAGCCGAATGAGCAAATCGTCCGGCGATGAAGGATAATGGTGCTCCAGCCCCGCCATTGACAGTCTGCTGCGAAAACACCTCCCAGCGCAGTCGAAAGTCGGTGAGGCCCTTCTCCAGATTTAGCTTGGAACGGCGCACAAGATCTGCAAGGGATTATTAGTTAAATGGTATGGAGATTGTAGTTCCCAGATACCCACTCTTCACAATGGCGTGCCATCGCTTGCACACCAGGCTGCAGTGCTCCAAGTCGCCGTAGGGTGGCAGGTAGGTGAATATGAACTCCAGTATCTCATCGGGAAGGACATTCAGATTTACAGCGGCCAAGGTCGCCCCGCAATTGTCGTTCTCGCCGTCGACCTTGTGTCTGCTTGCGTCCATCCTTTGTGATGTCCTTGCTGCCCCCTTTCTTCGTGGCGTTCGAGATGTCCTTCACCTTCAGATGCTGCACCACAGAAGCAGCAAAAGGCAGCGAAAGGTTTGAGGTCGCTTACGTTATATGCTGGCTTGAACTTCAGATGATTTTCGGTTTTTTAGACAACAAAAATAAATTATAACATAAACAGTAGCTGCGAACAGTGTGACCGTGCTGAAGTCAAGAAATATACAACTGGTCACAATAAAAATACCAAAACTAAAAGCACATCTTCAAGAATATACTGTTATTCTACACCATTTCAAAATGTTTATTTCTGATCGATTTTCGGAAGGCAGGATGGTTATTTTATTATTTTAGGATACTTGAAATTATGCAGTTTTGCCTGCCTAATTGTTTAAGTCGATAGTCATTTATCTACGCGCATGCATAAACCACAGTGGATATGCGCTATAAGCAAAGCTTCCACATCTGTGATGCGCGCGCTTCGTCGCGAATGGCAAAAGCCAAATAGAATTTCACGTGTTGCTTTTAAATTGTTTATTTTTTATATACCGCGAAAATGAGTGCACCAAATGACAAGAAAATTGTGATTAATAAACGATTAAAAGGCATGCCCCGTGAGGCTCTGGAAAAACTGACCCAAACCGAGCTGATCGACAAGGTTGTCCAATTGGAGGCCTACAACTTTCAGTTGCGGAATCTCCTGCAGAAAAAGTTAACCGAGCAAGATAATCTTGAGGAATACTCTGCAGTATTTGGTAACGAAGCGAAGGATGGAGTTACCCAGGTGGCTAAGTCATCCAGCAAAGTGCAGAAGCAACGTAAGTTCGATTGGAGCAGGTAAGTTTTGCAGATTAGGTCGCGATCCATGAGCTCATTCATCTTTTCAGTGCCCACAAGCGTCATGTATTGCTAAAGATAACGTACTTCGGATGGGATTATCAGGGATTTGCCTGCCAGGAGGATTCCAATGACACTATTGGTAGGTTCTTCACACAAAGCATACCGATTTTTAATGAACTCTCTCATTACCACAGAATCCAACTTGTTCCGCGCTCTATCTCGCACCTGCCTCATCGATTCCCGCGCCAACTCCAATTATCACCGTTGTGGACGCACAGACAAGGAGGTTAGCGCCTTCTGCCAGGTGATCTCCATTGATCTGCGCAGCAAACATTCACCCGAATTCCAGCTGGATCCCACAGCGCTTTCCACCGAGATCGACTACTGTGGACTTCTAAATCGAGTGCTGCCCAAGAACATCCAGTGCGTGGCTTGGATGCCACTGCGAAGTCCGGTTTATAGCGCTCGCTTTGACTGCGTTTCCCGTAGCTATCGTTACTACTTTCCCAAGGGCGACTTGGATATTGGTGCCATGAGTCAGGCCTGTGATCTCCTAGAGCGTCACGCGGACTTCCGGAATTTCTGCAAAATGGACGTTCACAACGGGGTCACTAACTATATGAGAAACTTGCAGTCTGCCAGGGTGGTAGCTTGTGATGAAAATCATACAAATTCAGGTTTGTTCCTAAATTAGAGGCTCTAAATCTGTTAAACTTCAAAACGTAGCTCTTCCACAGGCTACGACATGTACTACCTGGAAATTCAAGCAAATGCTTTCCTCTGGCACCAAATACGTTGCATAATGGCGGTGCTATTGCTTGTTGGCCAGAAAAAGGAAAGCCCCACCGTAATCAGTGAACTGCTTGATGTGGAGTCCAATCCATGCAAGCCTCAATACTCACCCGCCATTGGATTACCCCTAAATCTATTTCATTGCGACTTTCGGGACCAGACAACTAGAAGTGTAAACCAACTAGGCAGCGGTGATGCAAATGAAGAGGCCATGGATACAGTCTCCGAGGAAACAGATAACACAAATGCTCCCGAACTTTTGGAGCGTGATCTTACAACGTGGATATACAACGAGGAAAATCTACAAAAGCTTATTGAAAACACCCAGTGTGAGTGGGCGCAATTTAGTGTTAAAAGCACCATGATACGTAATGTTCTACAAGAACTGGAAGCCCTATTAGAAGAGAACTTTATGCCTAAAGAGAAGGTGCAGTCTCAAGTAATCCTCTTGCAGGATTCCGTCAAACCACGTCAATATCAGCCTCTTCTGGAACGCAAACGATGTGGTAGGTATTGAATTCCCACCTTTTTCAGCTTACTCTAATTAATCCGTTTTTACAGAGAGTTTGGAGAACCGGATAGAGCATTTTGTAAAGAAGCAACGACTGATTGTGAAGAATGAAACGGAAAAAGAGTGATTTATTTTAATATAATTTCATTGAAACAAAACGTATATTGTTTTTCAGGTAAATATATTAAGGTTGTATGTAAATAGAACTTGTACAACGTTTCGAACTTTAGCCTAGTCTAGAATGGGTAAATAATTTAAAATTGTAACACCATACAATTCTTTACATACTATTTGGGATTCTAGTTTCTAAATAGAGTCTGTGTATAAGTATAGTTCTTGCAAGGGGCTTTGTACGATTACAAAAGAGGCTTCACTTAATTAGCGAAGCTAACATTTAACTTGGTTAAACGATACAGGTTGTCCATAATCATGTATTACCATGGGAATAAGTCAAAAGCGGGTATTAACTAACAACCCATCGATTTAGCTTTCTGCAATCTGCAATGAAACGTGAAACGTTAGTTTTAAATTCATAAACGTGGTTTGCTCAGCTGTACTTACTTTCTTCTTAAGATTTTGAGCACAATGGTGCCCTCTCTTACGTTTTTAAAGAGTCCTATGGTTTCGGCGTGACTCATGCCCTGCACAGAGTTTCCATTGATCTCCACAATCTCATCGCCTGTTTGGAATGTATTTTAGTTAGGTTGTATATATCGAAATACCATTGAAACACTAACCCGCTTGCAGAGTGCCATCGTCGGCTGCCTGGCCTGAGGGAAACACAGTCTTTACAAAGATTCCCATGTTGCCCTTGGGCGAGTCTCGACCTCCCACTATGCTGAAGCCCAACGATTTCAGTCCAGGTCCCTTGAAGAAGGTTATAGTCTTCGGGGTGCAACGACCACTACCTATAATTTTGAACAAGTGTTTAGTATTTGACAAGGGAAATGACTTGATTTCGCCTAGTAAGCTATTTAGTAGATTATTGGATTACTGAATCTCACCCTCGCTCATCGACGCACGGATAACCTCCGCCATTTCCTCGTCGCGTATTGTTAGCTTGGCCACCGGTAGCGATGGCCTGTGATGCATTAGGGCAGCGGCTGGCGGTGCCAGGGAAGAGCCGGCTCCCGCTGATGTGGATGCCGAAGCTGGTGAGGATGAGGCGTTAACATAGGGATTAGGCGAGAACAATGAGACGCTCTTTGGCGAGTGCTTGATGTACAGTGATTGGTGTGTCTGTTGCTGGTTTTGCTGCTGTTGCTGCTGGTTAGTGAGATCAGTGGTTGTGGTTGCTGTAGAGGATGGGGTGTTAGCGACTCCCTCCCCGACGGTTAGACTGTTAGGCGGCGCCTGCATGAACAGACTAAGGCGCGACGAACTCAACCGCGAGTGGGCAAATCGGAGCGAGCGATAGTGCGAGTTGGCCAGATTGATAGAGTTTCTGGCGTAGTGAGTGCGCTGGCCAAATTGCTGCGGGTTTGATGTAGTTGATAGGGCGGCACCCTCCGAGCAACGCTTCCGTGCCAGTAACTGCCACTTCTCATCGTCCGCCAGGGAGGAGGCCACGCACACGCTTGCCGCCCGATTTGCATACACTGGCGTGTAGGAATCGGAGTCGTTAGCGGGGTCTTTCTCGTTATCCAGCAACCGGTGGTTAGGGGAGGAGGAGCAGCTGCTGCTGCCGCTGGCAAAGAGTGGGGTCGGTGTTAGAGCCAAGCTGCGCTGACCTGAGGAGCTGCGTGCCCGTCTCCTGAGGAGCTCATGCTCCGGACCACCGATATCCAATGAGTGCCTGGGCGTGGAGCTCCGCCGATGCTGCATCAGCGGCATCGGAGTGGGCATCGTGCTGACGCTGGCCATTGAACGCGCATCGCACTGATCCTCGCCCTGGGCTTCCTGCTCCTGCTCCGTATTGTGACCCTGAATCCTCTCCTGCTGCAGCTGCAGACTCTGCATGCTGCTCAGACTGTCTGTGCTCTGAGTGCGCTGCACATAACTCAGCCTGTGGCGCTGCGTGCTCATCCCATCGATGCGGATTTTGGTGTAGAAATCAGTTACCGTGGTCACCTCATCGTGAGCGATCACCAGGTCGATGCAGTTGTCCACAAAGCTGCTCAACAGGCGTTGGACCTCTGCGAAGGATTGAATGCCTCGCAGGTGTTTCCCATTTACGTTGACAATCTCGTCGCCCAGGCGAAGACGGCCATCCCTATAGAAGTTGGAAGAATAGTTGAAAGTTGGGAATGAATAAATTCGTAATTTTGCACTACTCACTTTTGGGCCATGCCATAGGGTTCCAGTTCCACGATGAGATACCTGTACTGCTGCTCATTGCTGTTGGTCATCACCGTTTTGGGCGACAGGACAATGCCGATGTAGTCCTCTTGGCACTTGCGCTCCAGCTTTAGCTGCCTGAATCGGCGCCGTATCGTCTCCGTCTCATAGTCGTAGTTGTAGCCACCCAGCGACACGGGAGCACTGCAGATGCTGCTGTTCCTCGTCGATGGAGCGCCCATTCCGAGACTCAGACCCATGCCCATACCAACGCCCTCCGAGGAGCTGAGGGAGATGAGCGAGTTGCGCTTCAGTGTGCCCGAGGCAATAGATTCGGTATCTCCGCCGGAGATGCTCAGATTATTGCCCAGTCGGGCTCCCGTCGCACCCCCATCGCTATCGTAGCCGGACTCGTTTGAACTTAGACAACTACTTAATCTTTGGTAAAGTGGTTCCCAGTCCTTGGAGGTGATGCTGTCGTTGCGTGACACATTGTTCAGCATCGCCTGTTCGGGGGATCGGCGCTGGGGAAGGGGCGACGATGTCGGCTCCTGCTGGAGGAGATCCCTCTGATGCTGCTGGTGCTGCTCCCGCTGCCGCTGTATGTGTTGCTTCAGGTGTCCTGGTACATTTCCGTGGTTCTCCTCGGGCAAAACGGAGAGACGTGATCGCAGGAAGGCGTAAGGAAAGGCGCCACGACGCGATGGATCGTGTTGGCCACTGGCTGCAGTTCCGCCTCCACCAGCGGCTGCACCACTCGGAGGAGATCCCAAACTGCCTGCAGCACTGCCACTACTTGTGCTGGCCGTCAGGCAACTGCTCACCTTGGCTATGTCATCGCAGCTACTGGACTTCAGGCTGGCGATCCGTGGAAGACGCTGTTCGCGCTGCTCCCTCTGAAGATTCAGGCCCTCGGTGGGATCGTCGCACTTCACGTAGGAGCTGCTGGACAGCTGGCTGGTGGAGCTGCTCCTATACAATGTGGTGGCTGCCGGGGTGGCCTGTTGAGCCGCCTCCGAAGCCTTAAGGAGATTGTGGGAGCGATGGTTCAGCATGCCGGTGGACCCGATCCTATGGAAGAAGTTCTTCAGCGCTTTCTGTGGGCGGGCGGCCGCCTGGAACTGATGCGTGGGCGTGGACTGCGCACTCTGGCTCTGTCCCGTGCCCACATCCTGGACCGATTGCTGCTGCTGCTGCTGCTGCTGGTGTCGCTGCTTGATGGTTTCGATGGGCCCCGACTTGCACTTCTTGAGGGTGCTGGTCGTGGAGCCGGAGCTGCTCTGATGGCCGCCAGTGGGTGAGGGCGAGGCCTTCGCCGAACTGGGTCCGCTGGAACCACCGGATCCACTTTTGTGGTGCGTTGGCGAGTGGAACAGACTCCTCAAATCCGAGTGCGATTTGTGGGCGGCGGCGGGCGAGTCACTCCGCTTCAGCAAATCCAGTTTGCGACTCATGCGCTTGCCCCAGGTGAAAACTGCAGGGGGAGAAGGGAAGAGCAGTGGATTTGCAATCAGAAAGCGATTTCTAACTTAATTATAACACTTCAATAAATCTCAACGCCTGGCCACCAGTCGGCGCGGTTGCCGGGACGGATGAGAAATGTCCAGGGTTCCGCATGGACTTGATCTTGGACATGGCCAATGACAATCTACCGCTCCAGCTGCATTGTGGCCAGCCGGCTGCCACGTGCCTGTGAAAAGGCATCCGATTTCGAGTGCTTGCGGTTGGAGTTCCCCCACTCAAAGACACAAAAGAAGTGGTCGGCCTTAAAGATCTTTCGACCTTAACTGACGTTGAAGGCTTTTGACAAGAAAGGATGCAGGCGGCTTGCGCAGAGTTGAGGGATCGGATAGTCATATTTTATCGGGGAAGAAAAACCTGCAAAATTAATTTACCCCTTCGTAGGGTAAAATATAGAGTGATAAGGTGTCCTTCCTTGCACTGCTCATAGTTTTCTGGGATATTCCCTCATCTTTAAATAGAACTTAAAGAGGTGTGTATATTCAATTGATTTCGAGCACTTGCATCCCATCTCCTGGTTATCGAAAGATCTTTATTCACCCCAGCTATTGAGCAATAAACACACCTCAATTACTAATAGAGCATAACCAATCATTGTATGGACTCAAACTGGCCATCGCCCAGTGGAAATCTAATAACATCGTAAAATACTTTAACGATGCGGCCTTAACAGCACTTTGAGTCTGGTTAATAAACAAATTTATGCGCTTATTCCATATTTATCGCCAGAAGATGAGGTGCCGATCCAGCCGTAGAGGGCATTTACAAACAATTAGCATAAAACATGCACATCCAATGATTCGAGGGATCAAGAAGGCGTCGCATTGCCATTGACTTCAAAGCGCATTATACGGCTCTAGCAATAAAATTTCCAAAACTATTTTCATCAAATCGAAGTGGCGGAGTGGGACCCCGAAACCGTGATCAGTGATGCGAGGCGGTGACTCAGGTGGCTGACTAACCCGCTCAAAGAAGTGCTTAAGCTTTAGGGAGCTAACGATGCAGTGGTGCAAAATATTGTTGAAAAGAACTTAGAGATTCCGAAACCATATCCTACATTGAATGAATCCTAAGTTGCTATTTACTAAAAGTTCACTAGAAGTCTTAGTTGAGTCACTGCACGCAACCGGTAATCAGTGATCACTGGGGATAGTCTGAGCCATCTCTGGCTTCTTCCAGCTTCTTTCGCTGACTCGTGCCAAAGTTGTTTAATAGCCGCAGCCCAGCCACGGGCTGTGGTCCGTTCAAATTGCCCTGGCTCAGGCCATGTGTGGGCGCAGTGGCTTGGAAGCAGCCGGGATGCGGACGCGGATGAGGATGATGATGCTGATGCTGATGGTGATGAGGAGGCGTTTGGGGGGTGGCCAGATCCAGAGCCAATGCAGGTTGACAGCCGCTCCAAACGGCGAAACTCCACCCAAGGCCTGACCGAGTTCGCCTTTGATTAAAGTTTTCACCATTGCAATCACCCAGCCGACGGAAATGAGGGGCAGGATTGGATGGTGGCGGCTGGAGGAGCTGCAGCAGAGTGTTAAACAATAATAGGAAACGGCGCGCGGGCATCAATTATATGACAACCTCAGCCGCACTCCAAGAGGCTCTCCCGGTCTCCGGGTCCCCAGCTCCATCTCCATCTGCAGTCACCGCCGGCCACATGCCACAAATTCTACACCCACTTATCTTTCAAGACGGTGTCAAATGCCCGCCAGCCCAAGAGGCCCGTTTCCCTCCATTTCCACCAGTTCACCCCTCAAAAGACGCTGGTCGGAGATGGCTTTGTTGCATTTTTGCCGGCTGACATGCAAGCGGTGTTGAGGCGAAACCATTCGAGACCCAGAGAGCTGGAGCTGAGTCTTAGAACTGAACATCTGAAGTGTTGCAGAGGAGGAACAAGCACGGTTCTTGGCGGATGAAGTGGAGTTCTCCAGAGTTGCCAGAGAAAGGTACTGGTACTTTTCCAAACTATCATTACTTTACGTAATCAGGAATCTAATATTTTCGTATACATGTTATTAGCTGAGGAAGTTTCTCATTTCATGTCGTTTCAAAACCTAAGAAGCCATAACAAACAGCGTCATTTCAACTCCAATTGATATGCATCAGGAAAATCCCACTTAAAAGTGTAAAGCGGTCAAAAAAGTTCAATAACCAAAGAGCCATGGGAAAGGCGTACGAGTATTCATTTATGCAAATGCGAACTCAAAAGTCGCGATTTTGTGCCACTTTCAGATCAACGGAATCAACATTAAAATCAACATCGGAATCGAAATCAGTTTGGGAATCGGGGAGAAGCAAGACCAAGTGCACATGGCATGCAATAATATCTCACGTACAAATGCGAATTGCTGGCGGAGAATTCTTCTCAGAAGACTTGGCCATAACGGAATGGAGTTGGAGATTCAGTTGGAGCTGGAATTGGAACTGGAGTTGCAGTTGGCGGGCAATGAGAGATCGATAATCGGTTTTGAAATCAAGTCGGGGAACATGTAATAAGCGATAATCCACAATAAATGCGCATGCGTGCAGCGCCATCGGAAACCTCTACTGGATCGAAAATTGTAGCATTTATGCCGAGAGTGAGGCCTAAAGATTATTGATTTCCCATCGTTTTTTCGATGCGAGCGATGAGAGCCATTTACCAATGTGCAAACGAAAATGTTTACTCAGCTATGTCTGCTATATGTATATAACTGAAGCTGACCTTGGGCCGGCACACTTGGCAAAATTTTAATTAATACCAATTAAGTGCGGCATTAGAGGCGGCAAAAGCTCAACCAACTTAGAATGTGACTTTGGCATGCAATGCAGCAATGGCGATGGCTTTGGAGTGACTTTGGCTTTGGTCCCAAGATGAATGAGCCTCGTGGAGCAAAACAGCTGCGGATTCCCGCGGCACCTGATAGAACCGGCCATATCTTTCCAGCCGACTTGCAGCTGTTTGGCCGCTTTTGTCGGCCGGCATCTCAGAATGCAATCATCAAACGTTTTGCGGTTGCCGCAGAGGGGCTGAAAAGCATTATTTGAATTGCCGTTTGCCAGAACTCGCGGCTAATAATGATGGCCTGCGAGGAAAAGTGAAAATCGGTATTGATTCTGGTTGCTCATATTTTCCCAACCCATATTCTCCTGGCATTTTGATTTTTATTTGCCAATCCATTCATCCGCCATTTCCTGCGCTCAATTTCTCGCTTATCTAACTAGCCGCTCTAATACCCATATCTATTTCTCACAACTCCACCCATCTGCACAACCGAAAGCCTCAATCGCATGTCACATAACCGGGCAAACATAAAAATAAGTAAAGTGCTCTTTGTGCAAATCATTATAACTAAACCCAACGCAACTCAACCAGAGTAAAGTGAACTCAACTGAACTGCATTGAATGACATATAATGCCCAGCTTTGTCACACTTGGTCGGCTGTTGGCTGGGAGCTGTTCTACACTGGGAGAATTAGATGGAACCAGCATTAGTATCTGTATTATTGGCCATCTTGCTTAAAAGAAAGGTGTGTACAAACCAAGTGGCTAAGTTCAGTGGGGTTTCTGCCTGTGCAGTTTGGGCTTTTGGGGCGGGCTCCTCATCAAAAACGAGACCACAGCCTGCCCCCCGCACCAGCAACTCGTGCCGGTGCTGAAAACAATACAAATTCCAGTTGCAGACATGGGATCGCATTACAGTAGCGATGTTGGCGGCGCGCATTGATGCGAAATCGGGTCAATACGGTATTTTGGAGTAGAGTGTGTGCCATGCGGCACAATACGCAACGTATCGATGACAATTGGCAACTGATTGGCGCTGATTTGGCCCCCGCCAGCAGCACGGAAGCACTGGGAGTGCTGCTTCCTATGTTTATGTTTAGCTGTGCAAAATTAATTGCTTCAATTAAAATGTGCTCCAAATTGAGCTCTTAATACCTGGCTGACAACACACCCTCCGCCGCTCCATAATTTATGGATCCACTTTCCCCCTCTTAGTCAGAATGTGCCCCAAAATAAAAAAGATGTAAGGGAAAAGAAAAACCCTCGAGGCGCCGCCACTCGAAGGGAAAATCAATTTCCAGGCATTTGCCCGGATTCGGGTTCTATTTTTGGCCAAAGTACTTACCATTTCTCGTGGTGCTGGCCAAAGAAGTGGAGCTCCCCGAATGCGAGTTGCTGCTGCTGACATCAAGGCCGTTGCTGCTGCCGTTCATGTTGCTGCTGCTGTTGCGGCTCGCTTCAGTGGCCGGCAGCGAATTGGACTTGTGCTCATCGTCCAGGACAACAACGGGCACCGCTGTGACCAGCTTGTAGTCGGGCAGGTGACCTACGGGCACAGAAATTGGTATCAGTTGGGTGTAAGGAAATGAAAAGCAGGGCGTTGGCCCTACTGAATATCATGGGATTATCAAAAAACAAGCGATAAGCGCCAAACACCCGGAAATCCCACTGAATCCCACACGGCAAACTGAGCAAATAGGGAGTCTATGGCTCAGTTGAAATAAGATTTTCCATCGCAATGGTCGTTCACATTGCTCTCATAATACTTTTGGGCCCAAGTTCGCTACTAAGTCCAGTTCAGGCAATCAGGAGCGATATTTATGGACAACTGATTGGACTTGTCGCCACACATTTGAATGGAAGCTTATTGGATTTTAATACTTGGACTAAGGACATTAGTTCGTCATTAAGCGAACAAGAACAGCAGCGAGTGGCATGGAATGTTCCCTGGTCGGATATTTTACACAGACAAAAGTCACCACTATATCTGCAAAGCCATCTCAATACTGGGAATCCCTTCAAGCTCAGGCTTTGGATGAGCCTCTATTGGCACCTTAGGCGCTCCCACCTTCTGAACGAGCTCCATCTTTCAAACTTTGCCCGCGAACTGAGAAGCCTCAAAAGTAATCATCCAGAGCTGTGGAACAATAATCTCCAAAACATGTTGCAGAGTTTGCCAAGATCTTTGAGGCTTCTGGTGAAAACTCGGCGCTTGTGTCTGGAACACAAAAAGGAGTTGTTGTACATAACTGCTGGAAATCACTTGGCATTGGGCGCCAATAGTAACTGCAGCATTTGGGAGGCTGAGGAGGAGAACAGGGATCACTGGCTGAGACTCGTGAATGTCTGCGATGATAGCAGCCCTTTCTTCATCAGCATGCTATCACAGGGTGCAACTCAAGTCCTGTTCAGTGCGCCCAACGATGTGGCAAACGCCTTTTGCGTGCTAAGGGGTGTGGCTTATTTTGAGAAGGTCTTAAATACGGAAGGTAATTGCCATTGGCAGCTAAATGACTGCAGTTTCCTGCCCAAGATATTATCCGCCAACAATAAAAACTAAGGCATATAAATTATATCTAATTATTAATTGATTAATAATTATATAAACATTACATTACATATGAACAAAACATTAATTATATAAACTAATGCATAGAATTCTACTTAGGATTTCGATATCCTCGGTTACCATTAGCCTTATTATGATTCTACTTTACTTCGTAGTAAGGTGCTTACCATTTGGAGTCAGGGATCGGCTGCTCTTGTTGCTGCCCGCCCCCCCGCCGGCACTCGCCCCCTTCTCGTACAAACAACTGCTGGAAGCGGCGTGCAGTCGCTGTGCAACATACTGCTGGTACTGGGCGGCATGTTGCTGCTGCTGCTGCTGCTGCTGCTGCAGGTTGGCGATGCTGCTGGTGCTGCCATAGCTGAGCAGCAGGGTAGCCGAGCTGCTGCCAGTGTTGACATTGCTGGCAAGTTTCGTTGCCACCGGCACGTAGATGGTGGGTGGCTGGTGTGCCTGCTGCTGGCGGTGCAGACTGGTGGCCTCTTGGAGCGACATCACCGATATGGCCGATGGCGTCTGCCGGCCACTTAGCAGACACGTGGGCGTGGCCGTGCGTAACGGCTGCTGCTGGTGCTGCAGATGCTGCTGCTGCTGCTGTTGCTGCTGCTGCTGCAACGAGCCGGCAGATGTGGCTGCCGTGCCGGCAGCTGTTGCTGTGACCGCTGTCGTGGCGGTGGCTCCATTGCTGGCCAGGGTGGTGCAGCTGAGGATCATGACGGGCGACTTGTCATGCAGATCAGGCAGCGATGACGATATGCTGGTGCTGCTCACAATGCTCTTGTTCAGTCTGTTGCTGCATGTTGCCGGTGTGTGACTCTTGTTGCTGCTGCTGTTGCCGTTGTTGCCGTGGGAAATGTTGCTGCTGTCGGCCTGATGTTGCTGCTGCTGTTGCTGTTGCGCGGCTAGTGTGCTGTAGGTATCCGTGGATTTGCGCGCTTTGAAGAGACGCATACTATGTTGGTGTTTCTGCAATTGTACGAAAATTGTGGGTTAATTTTCGGGAAAAGCGAAAATGGAGTAGTGCTATTTTTTGGCCCAACTTTGTCTGCAATTTCCATCGACATTCCCTATTTGTTCGCTGCTGTTGCTTTTTTCGTCCAACGGAGCGTATAATTAACGCAAATTGCAGCAAATTTTGAAGTGTTGCTGTTGCCGCTGCCACAGTAACTTCAACAAACAGCCAATGGCCAATGGTTAACCATCGATTTCCTACTTTCCTGGCTTTGATTTGATCGTACTACTCCAGATAACAGTTCCGACACAGTGATTACTTTCCAGCTCAATCTGTTTAATTGCCAAGGAGGTACGATGAATGACTGATGACATTATTTATAGAGTAGTTAAATGGCTATAAATAAGTGCTTATCAGCTGGACGACACTTCCCCATAAGCTGATGCATCTTTTTGCTATCGGTTCAACAAACGGATCAGAGTTGATTACCAGACAGTAATAAAAACAACCAAAAACACGCTCAGCACACAGGTTGATGTGTGTGCTTATATAATATTTGCTCTGTCGCTGTGACTTTTGTTTTTACCAACAGCTGGTATCGCAATATTTGCTCGACATTTTCCAACTGGTACGTGTAGAAATCAAGGAAAGTCAACGTCGGGCGGCGAAGGTCAGCGAACAGCTGGCAAGTGGGTGGCCGGTTGGCCATTGAACCGCTCAACCACGGCGCAGCCACAACTGGAGATGGCCAATTCGCCCAACTGCCTCTTACTTTTCAAATTAGCCAACCTAGTCAAAGCCAATTTGACGTTAGCCAAGTTAGCCAAGTTAGCCAAGTTAGCCAAGCCAGCTGCAATCGCCACATCTTGTGGGCCTCGGTGCCTCTAATTGATGTGACATTTGCCTGTGCAGCGACCGACGCATAATGTACACAGAAAGAAATCTTCAATAGTGGTGAATCAGCACAGATAACTTTCAGCTTATTTAAGAATACTTAGCTTTATCCTTTAAGAACTATAAAAATATGACCTCCGACAGATGGCGCTCTGGTATTAGGCAGACCCTCTTATTTGCACTTAACAAACTAGCTAGGCTTTAAAAAGAGATCTTTCGGAAATTTAGTTGTTTTACCTGAAAACCGCTGTCTAGTTACTTCACTTCGTGTCTACATATGTATATATCCCCCGGAATATATATATCATCGGTAGATTGTGTGCCATCGTGCCAGTTTCCCCGGCTTCTGTTTAGTAATAATTTTGCCAACTTTATCAGAAGCTTTGAACCTTGCCTCGCTGATTTTTATTGAAGCTTTTAAGCAGGGGCCTGCGGTTTAGAACTCAGCAATACGTTGTCGTAATGTGCATTTAATTGGTCTGCGAGAGGTCATTGCCATAAATTTCCTGTGCGTTGTCTAATTAATAGTGCAAAATTTTAATGGCCAGCAGATGGGAATCTGAGGATCAGAGTCAGGAACCGAGTCATAGTTTCTAGCTGCATGTGGACCCGAGCCCGATATCCAGGCAAATGGCCGCCTTGTTTATGGGGCGAAACCAGTTTCAAGGACGCGCCGCTGGCGCAATTCCAAGAACCTCACTTGGCTCATTACCGCATGACGATGATGTGGAGTAGATGGAGTGGCAACGGATCGGGTTCGGGATCGGGATCGGGATCGGGATGGGGTCCAAGGAGTGGGCAGCGCGAACGTGACTCTCTGTCCGCGGGGCTGACGATTGCAAAACTATTTTTTAAACGGCCTTTCAGTCGGACAAGGACAAGGCTAAGCCGATGGCCTTTTCGCCCCCTGACTTCACTTCTATCCCCCGTTTGGCGTATCTCCCACATTTTTTTCTGCACTTAATTTTATTTTAATTTGCCCTCGCTCCGTGATTTTTTTCTTAATAAGCAATAACAACATTTTCTCCTCATCCTTTTAGCCCGACCCGCTGGAGGAGCCGGCTGCATAGTTGTAAAATTCCTGTAAACAAGCCGGACTGCCACAGCTGTGGCATGCGGCATGTGGCAACTGCAACTGACAACACACACACACACACTCCTTGGGCAACGCACACTGATTCAAATGATCCCGCCAACAATTGCGGCAGTGGACTGGCTGCACGGGTTGCCACAGGAATTCCTTTTCGAGCGTCATAAAATTTGTTTTCATTTTTAGAAAGCTATGTATGTAAAAATACTACAGAAATAAAGCATTGTACCAAAATGTTGACAAGTTGTTTGTGATTTCAGAACCAATGTGGAGAACCAATGTGCTATCCGAACTTCTTGACCACCCCACTTGGTGGCTTTATCACGGGGCAGCTTGAGAGTTGTTACCTTTTGTTGCCACAAACTTTTTGAGTTATTTTTCCCGTGCATGCCGTACATATAGCAGGCGCTCGTATATATATCTTCGATGTGGCCTATCTACCGTGCGCCTACATATCGCAGTGTGTGTGTGCGAGTGAGTGTGTCTACTACTGGCAAGTCCGCATTCTTTTAAAGGTTGCCAAGTTGGCCAGGCCGAAACCGAAAAAGATACAGAAACCAAAACGCAGACGCAGACGGATCAGGGCAGGGAGTTTCTGGCCCAAGACAGAGCGGACCAGTTCGAGCGAAACATAAACCAAAGCCGAAATCCAACAACCAAAAACATTTGCCCAGCGGCTGCCTTGAGTGGTGCGTCGGCGACTTTGGCGCATGCGTTCAGTTTTCATTTTCGTTTTAAATGGCCGCGCCAATCGGTTTTGGCAGAACTTTCAGCGTTTTTCGGGCTTCAATCAGAACTTTAATTGCTTCGCACTGCCAAACCGCAGCCTCTATTAAGCCAGCTACTAGAAACCGGCAATCCGGCTGCTGCGATTGGAAAAGCTGCTGACCTTCAGGTGGCACCTGTTTGCCCAGTGCAGGAGGATTATCGGAAACAGCCAGCCAGCCAGCCAGCCAGTCAGCCAGTTAGGCAGTAGTCGCTGTTGCAGCTAATTAGGCATATCAATGTGATTATCCCCATGTCGCAGCAGCGGTGCAGCAAGTGTTGCTGCTTCTGCTGCTGTGACTCATGGCTGGAATGTTGCCGAAGCTGATGCCGCATCGCATGGCTATAAATAGTTAACCTAATCAAAATGCACGCGTGTAAGCAAACCATTTGCATAGTTGTTGATGTGGATGTTGCTGTTGTCGTTGTTATGCTGCTTCTGCTGCTGCTGCTGCTGCGGCCGTTGCTGTTGCATGTTGCTCGCTGGCAATTAACTGCGGCATGCGCAGACATTGGTCTAAATGTCAAGGTAAATTATGATGCATTCAGCTATTACGCCTAATAGTCCGAAATTCATGCACGTGTGCAACTATTTTTAGTTGTGGCTGCAAAGGTTTAGCCATTTGCCGGCAATGACAGATCACCGAAACCTGCTGCAGCTCCTCCTCCTCGTGATGCTGCTGCTGCTGCTGCTGCAGTCATTTGATGCATGTCTTTGGCCGGGCCCTTTTCCACCTTAATTAAGCTGCGACTTGGACCCAGAAACAAGTTCAGCCCAGGAGTTTTATCTTTAAAGTAATGCTGCACATTTTTCATAAAAGACATTCTGGTGCAAATTAGAGCTTGAGAAACAGCGGTGTTGCTGATAGTTTCCCGATAAACAACGATGTTATCAATGATTCTGGATATACCCATATCCCTTACTTTATTGGTACTTGATGCAATGTCTCTTAGTTGTACGCAACATTTAATCGTCTGACTCAACAAAGTATGGAAACAATTAGGAGTGCCTGCAAAAATGAATTCGCTTCTGTGTTTATGATTTTCTGCCCACTGCACTTTAGATAATTAAATATTTGGTGTCTCTTCTTTGGCAAATTACTAGGATGGACACCAACAGAGGCACACACATGCGCTGGCATTAAACGAAAGGTGAAGCAAAGAAGGCTGGCGGAAAAATTCTAATCAATGCTTTTAGGAACTTGGATCGGCGATGATGTTGCTGCCTTGCTGCGGACTGGCAGCAACTTTGTCGTTGCTGCTGCACGTACATGTAATTTTTTTAATTGCTGG